ACCCGCATCCTTCCTTAAGTATTTGCGAACAGTAATCTAAACTAGGTCTGCCTCCACCCCTCCTAACTCCCGTTTCTGCCTCTAATATGTCTCTGACTAGACCTTCATGCCTGAGAAGGTGTCCTACCAACCTATCTCGCCTATTTTTTATTGACTTCCAGTCCTCTGTTCTCCTATTCTTTTGACGTGACAACGTCTTATAATTCGATGGAGCCGGCTGCACGCACGAAAAAACATGACTCATGCGGCGTTACCTCGCTCTGAGGCGTTCCATTTAAGGCTTGAAGTGCAAGCGAGAGCGCGGAACGAGCGACAAAGAGGCACAATCGGCCTCCGCGTTCGGCAGCGTTCGACATCTGTCTCTCTCCTACTTGAGTGAGCGATGCGTCCGCGTGGACAGCTGCTATACAATAATACATTTCCATTTACCTCCTTCTCTATATCCATACAAAATATCTATCAAACAAATAAAATTAAAATTTTCTTTTGAAAAATGAAACCATTCCATCAGTATTTTCTAATGACGTTGTTACGTTCAACTATCGTCAGTAAACCGACTTTACAGACAACCGATTTTTTAATACCTCTTCATTTCTAACCTTCTCTATCCACGGTATCGTCATCATTTCCCTGTAACACCACATTTTGAACGCTTCTGACCTTTTCTTTTCCGCCGCTCCCACTGTCCATGTTTCGCTCCCGTACAACGCCGCGTTCCAAACATAGACCTTTAACGATCTTTTTCGAATTTCTAAATTAACCGTTCGCGAGCATAGAAGTGACTTCTTTTTATTAAAAGCGACACGACCCTGCGCTATCCTCTGTTTTATATCCCTACCACTCCTTCCGTCCTGACTTATCTGACTTCCTATATATCTAAAATCAGCCATTTCTTCTAATTTTTCGTCTCCTATCTTACATACATACATATACATACATACAATACAATACATATCTTACTTTATTTTAGGGATTTCTGTTTTTCCTGACTTACCCACTAATCCCACACGATGGTGGTTCAAACTATAATAGTATGTAACTCTGTGCGGCTGGTCTGCGAATTTTTTTTAGTCTCCCATCCTTACATTCAATTTTTTTATGTGCGCCGCTGTTTAGTGATGATTGCTAATCAATAATAGAACGTAAAAGGTTCTGCGCCTTTGTCGTTAAAGAACTTTCTCATCAAGACCACTTTCGAGGGAACCGAGTGTGTAACATTATATTATAAGAATAGACGTGATAACGGGTTTCCTTCCCTTTTCTGTATGTTTAGATCCAGCCATTACGTGATCACCTGGGTTGTGATGTTCCCTAAAGATAGAGACGAGAAAATAGAGCAAGGAAGAAGAAATTCTCCACGGGAAATATTGGATAAGTTGCGCCACTTGGCGAATTATAAGTAATATGAAAAATTGCACTTTCTTGTCTTTGGCGCGTCCGCGTCGCTACGCTGGTGCAGACGGTTAAAAAGGCAATTACATAGAACCAGCGAGAGAATAAAAATGTGACATTATGACAATTCCTTTTTGGTATTTTTTTGAAATCACCCACCGCTCTAACAAATCTTTTTAATTAATTAATTGTGAAGACTTTCAAATAACGAGCTAAAAAGTAAGAAAAAACATGAACCGTTTAAACAATGGAGTAACATTTAAATAATAATCATTATAGGGTCATTATATAGTTTTAATGAAACTGGTTGAACATGCACCTCCAATCTTTCCTATCCTGAGCTAACCTTCGCATTTCCCTAAAATTAGAACATCCCATATTTAATCCAGGTCTACCTCTACTCCTCTTAACTCCTGTTTCTGCCTCTAAGATGATTCTGACTAGTCCTTCATGCCTGAGAAAGTGTTCTACCAACCTTTCTCGCCTATTTCTTATTGACTTCCATAGAGGCCTCTGTTCTCCTATTCTTTCCAATACCTTTTCATTTCTAACCTTCTCTATCCGCGGTATCATCATCATTATTGGATCATATAATTGACGATTTATACTAGTGTTGACTTTGTCATCTGTTAGTATTTCAATTTTTATTTCAAAGTTAGTATGTAGTTTTTAGAATTGATACTTCATCATGGTTTTTGAAGTATCACAACAAAAAAGTTAGAAGAAAATTTCAGCCAAGAATTGTGCTTTCAGATAAGTAAATTGAAAAATACTTCGTTGCATTATACAGATTAAAAAATTTCAATTTCATCCCCTTATTGCAAATTGGAAAGAATTAAGCTAAATCAAAGTTCTAATGGTATAAAACCAACATCGACGTTTCACCTTCATTTGTAAATTAAAAATCAGACAAGAGGTATTTTCGTCTGTCTGATTTTGTCGATCCTTATTCAATTTATTAATATAAATTCAAGTGGAGATCAATTTTATATGTGTCCATAAAATTTGGCGAGTAAATAATTGTTTACATATTTTCAAATGCAATATCGTCACAAATAAATAGTCTGGCAGACGTTTTATTTTTACAAAAATAATAAAAAATGTTTCAGTATCATATAACTTATCTCATTTTTGGCTAAAGACGTATTTATACATGTAGACACAAGTTTGTGCATTTTTTATGGAAATTTTTGCTGTATTGTGCAATGTTGGCAAATAATAGTATATAACATACATATGTATATCTAAGGCAGCAATGACGACTGCAATTGCAACTACTGCATTGCTGGAAGGAGAAGCGGATGATGTAGAAATGTACATATATATTTGCGTATATCGGGATATATCTCTGTAATTTGATCTGGCAAGTACATTTATTGATTGTAGCTTTATATTGCAGGATTATCCGATAACAGTAACAGTTCCTGCATCAATGCTGCACCTACGTATGCGTGTATGTACTTACTAAATAATTTATCGCGTAAAGGGTTGGCTCACTTGAAGGAGCTTTGGGGGTTATGTTGCCAAAAAAGTTAGTATTGCGGAAAAAATGGTAAATAGAGTCAAACTTCTGTAATTAGAACTTTTGGAATGACTGGAATTGTTTTCTGTTCTCTTTGTCAGTATTGGTTTTAAAGGGGTAAGGGGAAGGGGAAGGTCGGGCGGCGCCCAGGGAGCAGATTTACTTATTAAAAAATTTATAGGACAAAGTGTTGGTCCAGATGAAGTTTTGGGGGTTACAGTTAGTATTGCATAAACAATACTAAATAGAGTCAAGCTTCTTGTACAATTCGAAATAGTTTTGTTGTTTTATTGATTGGTACTGGTTTTAAAGAGGGAGAGGGGGGAATTCGGGCGGCACCCAAGGAGCAAAGTTACTTACTGCACAATTGACAGGACAAAGGGTTGGTCCAGCAGAAGTTTTGAAGGTTACAGTTAGTATTTCATAAACAATACTAAATAGAGTCAAGCTTCTTGTACAATTCGAAAAGTTTTCTAACTCGAATAGTTTTGTTGTTTTCTTGATCAGTACTAGTTTTAAAGAGGGAGAGGGGGGAATTCGGGCGGCACCCAAGGAGCAAAGTTACTTACTGCACAATTGACAGGACAAAGGGTTGGTCCAGCAGAAGTTTTGAAGGTTACAGTTAGTATTTCATAAACAATACTAAATAGAGTCAAGCTTCTTGTACAATTCGAAAAGTTTTCTAATTCGAATAGTTTTGTCGTTTTCTTCACAAATGCCGGTTTTAAAGGGGGTGGGGAGGGGGGCAAGTAGGGTGACGCCCGGGTAAGCTAAGTTCTGATTTTATATACCGAACATTTCCATATCAGTTTAAATTTCAAAACTAATGAAATTTTTATTGACCTCCTCAGAAATACTTGTAGAACTTGGACCTCTTCAGAAATGTATTTATTATTTATTCTAATGCATTTATAAAGGTTTCCACCAACGCCAACAAAACAAAATCCGTCAATCAAGTCTCAATTTAATAAAAAAGAAAGTCATTTCGATATTGAATAGACACAGCTGAAACAAAACAAATCAAAACTTTGACCGTTTGACTAAAATATGTTTATAAATGTGTAGCTAAAGGATACCAATAACAAAAAAATAAAAGAAAACAACCGTACGTAATATTTGAAGATAACAAGAACTGAAATGTTTCGTTCTGGATAAATTTAGTGGGATAGCATACCCCAGACGTCTGAAGGAAGTTAAGGGGATGAGAAAAGGGAAAAATAAAGTTGACAGACGTATCACCTGGAGTATAAAGCGCGAAATTACTGTCAGATTTCCAATCTCCATTTTCAGAAACTAAAATTTTATAAACCGCAAAATACCGTTAAGAAAACATTGTAATTTTTATTATAAAAAAGGAATCAGGCAAGTTAAGCACCTTATTGAATACCTACAATGTTAGGTGTAAGTATAAATATTTCAAAACCGTATAGTGCCTCGGGTAGCGATCGATACCGGCGCCAACATTGATGTGAGTAGCCAAGAGTCATTCTGAAGCGACAATACAAAACTGAGCATAAATTACATGGCTGTGTAAGGGCAAGCAGTCTTATTAAAGACTATTCTGAACCACATTAAGGAGAAGGGGGTTGATTTCTAAGTAACGTACAGCTATAAGTACTATATACCTTAAGCGTTACAAATCTTCGAATAAGATCTAGGATTTTTATTAAAGTTTTGTTGTACTTTAAGTAAGGCTCTATATGCAGGGTCCTTTTTATTTCAACGTTTTAGATACCCCAGTTTCAGCTGAACTGAATGGTTTCTTTGGGAATAGTGTCTGACAGGCGGAAAGACGGCTGAGTAATCTTATAAAGAGTTTTGTTTTCCTTTTGAGATACACAAACCCAAAACTCGAATATCGAAATTTATGTACTACAAATGTGGCAATTTTTAACTCGTTCTAAATTGTTACCTTTTGATACAAAACAGTATGAGAAAGATCATGCTTTCAATTTATTTCCGAAAATAAAAATTCAGTACTGCTGTGACATTTTTACTACTAACCCTTAATATATTAAATCTTCTTTGACGGTGTCCGCTCCAACAATAATAAATAAGTAACAATAAAAATAAGAAGCAAACTTACCGGCTACTGTGAGGGTTGCATTTCTACTTCTGACTTTCCCCAAAACATTACTAGCTTCGCAATAGTAGACGCCCCCGTCGGACTCCTTCCTGCTCTGCACCACCTTTAGGAAAAACAAATTTCCCGCAGGTAATAAGACCCTATGCGACCTAGCATCCTGCGGCGCGGTCCTTACTAGATGACCATCCTTGTACCAAGTTATTGTAGGCTCAGGATCGCCGGTTGCCTGACAGTTTAATGTCACCGGGTCGTGGCGTGCCACTGTCGTATCTACCGGGTGTTCTGTGATGCGTGGTGGCTGCTGGTTGGTATAATGGTAACCTGTAACACAGAAATGACGTATTAACAAAATTGTTAAGTGTTAAGTCATTAATCTCTGACTAAGAACTTCTTTTATTTAGTTTGTCAAGTAGTTATACTGCCAGTTACATCATCATCATCATCATCATCATAAGGTCGTCAGTCCTAAAACTGGTTGGACACGCACCTCCACTCTTTCCTATCCTGAAATAATCTTCGCATTTCCCTAAACCTGCAGCAACCTATATCCTTAACTATTTGCGAACAGTAATCTAATCTAAATCTACCTCTACCCCTTCAAACTTCCGTTTCTGTCTCTAATATGTCTCTGACTAGACCTTCATGCCTGAGAAGGTGTCCTACCAACCTGTCTCGCCTGTTTTTTATTGACTTCCATAGAGTCCTTTGTTATCTTATTGTTTCTAATATTTTTGACGTGACAACGTCTTATAATTCGATGGAGCCGGCTGCACGCACGAAAAAACATGACTCATGCGGCGTTACCTCGCTCTGAGGCGTTCCATTTAAGGCTTGAAGTGCAAGCGAGAGCGCGGAACGAGCGACAAAGAGGCACAATCGGCCTCCGCGTTCGGCAGCGTTCGACATCTGTCTCTCTCCTACTTGAGTGAGCGATGCGTCCGCGTGGACAGCTGCTATACAATAATACATTTCCATTTACCTCCTTCTCTATATCCATACAAAATATCTATCAAACAAATAAAATTAAAATTTTCTTTTGAAAAATGAAACCATTCCATCAGTATTTTCTAATGACGTTGTTACGTTCAACTATCGTCAGTAAACCGACTTTACAGACAACCGATTTTTTAATTAACTTTCTCTATCCACGGTATCCTCATCATTCGCCTGTAACGCCACATTTCTAACGCTTTGAACCTTTTCTTTTCGGCAGCGCCCACCGTCCATGTTTCGCACCCGTACAGCGCAGCGCTCCAAACATATATCTTTAACAATCTTTATCGAATTTCTATTCTAATTATATCCTCTGATTTATATCCTCACTACTCGTTCCATCCTGGCTTATCTGACTTCCTAGATACCTCAAATCAGCCACTTTTTCTAATCTTTATATTCTCTCTTTCCCTACTTTTCCTTCTCTTACAAACCAGTTAGAACCAGTTACATGATATTAGCTATTAGTGTCGTTCATTTGTTTTTGTTTCTGGTAAAAGAAATGATTGCATTTGTGAATAAAATATCGATTCAATGCCTTCATTGCTTTATTTACTTAATTAACTAACTAGGATCGTTATTTAAATTTGCATCTAGCTTGCAATGCTAATGTATTTCAATAGAGTTAGTCAGACAATGCATTGTTGATCTTCCATTGTTATTTGTTTCTCATTAACTGCGCTCAGCTTAGGACTTTACGTTTTTCTTAAATCCTTGACCTTTTTCTCTTTGAGTTAGCGAACGACTTGTCGATGTTTTACACTAATTACTTAATTAGGGAAAAAGCCCCAATTTTAACTACAATTCTAAATCTAAATATAGAGGTTTTGAAATTGAATCTTCGAATTAATAGATAATTGCACACAAACGAAGTCAAGTGTTCATGTTCGCTACTTTTGTTGGTCCTGACCGTCACAGTGCACTACGGTAGCTGCGCTGTTATCGCGTATACTTTCTGATTTAACGTTGACGTTTGTGCTGGCGTAAAGTATACTTAGTAATATCACTACTTCGTACCCGATAAAATTATAGTCTGGTGCATTACTAGTTTATTACACGATTTAAACCCGCGTCTATAAACACGACGACGGGTAAAACTTATCCCGTTTGTATAATGAGAATCGAACATGTTTTTTATTTTCTTCAGAAAAGTTCGCGCCGTTTCCCGTAAATTGCCGAATAAAATTTTCGAATAACCCCTTCGTACCTTATAAACATACAGATACACACAAATAGAGACACAATAAAACGGAATACTTAAAATCGGACTAGAAGAGAACGAGTCGTGGCGTGTGTAGTAAAATTAACAACTGGCACAGGTCGTTAAGTTCGATAGTAGTGCAGCAGCAGGAAAACCTCAAAACTCCGCCGACCAACTTGATTCCGACTTTATGGTCACTTTATTTCCAGACCGTTTTACTTTATTTATAGAAGCAAAGCAGTTCTTAAATCTTTTATTACTATCCGCCGCTTTGTTCAGGACACCGGAGAGAAAAAAATTAAAGACACAGATAAAAGTAACTGCAAGTATTGTATGACAAAGAATACTTTGTCATACAATACTTGCAATGGGTTAAACGTAATACAGAGGTCATTAAAAAAATAGGCAACGTGGTCGATTAAAATAAAATAGTTTCGTTATTTGAATCGTTCTAGTATTGAGTTGAACATATCGGTCATAATAATATGGGTAACGTTTGAGGTTAAAATAAAACAGTTTTGTTGTTTGAGTCGTTGAGCAATAGTGATATGTATGTAGGACGGGTAATAAATAGAGCGTAAACGAGCTAAAAGTGAGCAGCGTTTGAGTGGAACATATCTGTCATAAAAATATGGGTAACGTTGGTGGTCAAAATAAAATAGTTTCGTTATTCGAGTCGTTGAAGATACAAAAATTAACCTATAATTACTAACAGTAGTGATATGTATGTAGGTCGGGTAGTAGGTAAATGAAAGTAAGCAAGCTATATGTGAGTATCTTTTGAGCTAAATATATGAGTAATAAAAAAATGGGCAATATTAGAGGCCAAAGTAAAATAGTTTCGTTATTTGAGTCGTTGAAGATACAAAAATTGATCTATAATTACTAACAATAGTGATATGTATGTAGGTCGGGTAGTAGGTAAATAAGCGTACGCGAGCTATATGTGAGTATCGTTTGAGCTAAATATATGAGTAATAAAAAAATGGGCAATATTAGAGGTCAAAGTAAAATAATTTCGTTATTTGCCTTATAATTACTAATGGTAGTAGTACGTATGTATGTAGGACGGGTAGTAAATAGATGAACGTAAACGAGCTAAAAGTGAGCAGCGTTTGAGTGGATGATATCTGTCATAAAAATGTGGGTAACGTTGGAGGTCAAAGTAAAATAATTTCGTTATTTGCCTTATAATTACTAATGGTACTGGTACGTATGTATGTAGGACGGGTAGTAGTTAAATGAGCGTAAACGAGCTAAAAGTGAGCAACGTTTGAGTGGAAGATATCTGTCATAAAAATATGGGTAACGTTGGAGGTCAAAATAAAATAATTTCGTTATTAGAATCGTTGCAAATACAAAAATTGATTTATAATTACTAATAGTAGCGCAGTGAGGGTATGTACTTAGGACAGGTAGTAAATATGTCAACGTAAGCGAGCTAAAAGTGAGCAGAGTTTGAGTAAAAACGGTAAAATCAGCATTGCGACTCGATGATGAATAAAACCTAAGCAATAATTTAAAATAGTTTCGTTGGTTCAATCGTAATAAGTTAAATATAATTACTGAAATGCATATATGTGTCACAGTAATTGTATATATTTGGAACGGGTAGTAGGTAGATGAGCATAGGCGAGCAGAAGACGAGCAGCTTTAGAGTATAAGAGTTTAAAACATTGATACGACTAAAATATTGAATTGAGCTCTTATTTTGAAGTATTTCATTGAGCTTAGTAATGATTATATGCGAAAATAATTGTTTCATTTAAATATTTCTAACTCTCTAACTAAATTTGGTGTTGAGAAATTTTACTCAAGGCCAAACTTTTTACAGAATAATTTGCAGTAGAATTTTCTTATGCAAAATTTACCAACGTGAGAGATAGTAGAAAAAACCATATTTTATTGTTCCCATTCTATTTAATTTTGAAAATATTTTCGTACTATAATAATAACAAAAGAATTTTAATCAAGGGAGAAACTTTTCAGTAATGAAATCAATACTTGTGTAACTCAATTAACCGAAAGACTTCACTTAATTGGCTCGCTTGGAGAGGAATTTTTTTTATTTTGAGTATAAAATCCATAAGCAAACTTTTTTATCTACAAAGAAGGCAAAGTTATTATAGAAGAATGTTTTAAGAAGATCGAGCCGCTCCGTTCGTATTTTCGTTTGCTTTCGTGGGTGTAAGGGGTAGATTACATGAAAAAGTCGCTTTCAAAATAAACTTCCAACATTTTGTGGAAAGAAAAACAGGTACAGGTAGTATTTTACCTAAAATTTAAACGACTGCATTTTTAACAATTTCAAAGGAGTTTTATAAAATGTACTACGTAAACTGCTGCAGATTACTAACGTATTTATAGTAGGTACAGGTAATTCCCCCGAGGGTACCATCCTTATTCCCGCGGGGGTTGAGGCGGGCTGCCCCGCATCACGTTAATCATCCTCCTATACTACATCAGCGACCTACGTCAGTCCTAAATCGAGAAATAATCGCTTTGGATTTGGTTTTTACTTCGTTTAACCCCGTACATGCAAGCGGGTAAACTTCGGATTTATTTCTGACAGGATTTAATCCACGAAGGTCCTTCATACATAAGCATTTATAAAAAGAACTTCCATTTGTGCTACACATTGTTGTTGAACGAAATTTAATTAATAGAATATTATTTTTTTTCTATTTTATTGATGGTAATAATGCGAACACGTTTTCGATCTTATTAGTTAGCATCAGCATCAGTCGTTTTGATAAATTACCGATCAAATCAAAGTTACTCCGTTGCTAGTCGATATTAGGAAGATATCTTCTTCATAAACTAAGTCTAAATTTGTACAGATGGCGGTAAACTGTCAGTTATTTGATATTAACTAACTTGTAAGTATGAAGTAATTATGGTTTGATTGGTTTTTTAACCTAATATTAAGAACTAAATCGCTAATCATTCCCTAGTTACCACAGCAATATAAAGCATAAAATAGATATTAAGATTGTTTCTATATAGAATTCTATAGAATTTATTATTTTAATACTGAGTATTTTATGTGCCCAATCAAAAATAACGGTTCCTGAAGACGATACCTGTAAGTTAGAAATTAAGGATTCACTTGTTATTTAATTAAAAATAGC